GCTCCTGAACAGTAATGGACCGGGATAATATACCTCAACACAAGTCCCCCAGTTTCTTGAGTAGTGAGCGTGTGAATCTGCTCGAGAAAGTATACTCTTGCCTACGCTCCTCCTCTACCTTCTTTGCACATGGCCTCGGTTTTCGGAGCAAAGGCTTAATTCAATGCATTCGCTTAGGTGCGAGGGATTGGGGCGTTCGGCCCACGGATGCCCGACCCCGACTTCCTTTGGACGTTCGACCCTTAGGAACTCGGCCTAGATGTGTCCTTGCTTTTGATGCACGACCCGGTAGCAGACCTCGGAGTCGTCATACAGCGACCATCATCGGCCTATTCCTAGAGACGTTCGACCTCCAGATGCTAGGTTGGGCTTCCTTGGACGTTCGGCCCCTTGACGGTCAGCCCGCTCGATCTCTCGTTGTTGGGGCTCTGGAATTTTCCTTTAGGATGCTCGGCCCGACATGCATAGGAAGATTAGTCCCTAGAAACCCGACCCAACTTCCTTTGGACGTTCATCCCTAGAAACTCGGCCTAGATGTGTTTTTGCTTTTGATGCACGACCCGGTAGCAGACCTCGGAGTCGTCATACAGCGTCAATCCTCGGCCTATTCCTAGAGACGTTCGACCTCCAGATGTTCGGTTGGGTCTCCTTGGGACATTTCTACCTCAACATGCTCGGTCCTAGGATATGTTGCGCATCTCAAAGCCCTCGGCCTCTAGGGTGGAGAAGCTCGTCTCCCGACCCTCGGCCTCCGGCGTGAAAGATGTTCGTCCCCAGGCTTTGGCCTCCGGGTGATGGATGATCGTCCTTGAGCTCTGGCCTCCGGGTGATGGATGATCGTCCCCGGGCTTTGGGCTCCGGGTGATGGATGTTCGTCCCCGGGCTTTGGGCTCCGGGTGATGGATGTTCGTCCCCAGGCATTGGACTCCGGGTGATGGATGCTCGTCCCCGGGCCTAGGCCACTGGACGATAGATGATCGTCTTCGGGCCCTCGGCATCCGGGGTGAAAGATGTTCGTCTCCAAGCCCTTGGCCTTTGGTGGTCTTCTTTAGACGCTCAGCTTCTGGGGTGGAGGATGCTCGTCCCCGGGCCTAGGCCACTGGACGATAGATGATCGTCTTCGGGCCCTCGGCATCCGGGGTGAAAGATGCTCGTCCACGGCCCTTGGCTCTTGATGGTCTTCTTTAGATCCTCGGCCTCCGGGTGGAAGATGCTCGTCCCCGGGCCTAGGCCACTGGACGATAGATGATCGTCTTTGGGCCCTCGACATCCGGGGTGAAAGATGCTCGTCCACGGCCCTTGGCTCTAAGGTTCATTTTGAGCATCATCTCTTATCTGACTATGATCTTAATCTGCACAATGAACATAGTAACGCGGCCAAATGGCCAGACAATATGTATATGTGCACACTTTTTTTTTGTAGGTCGGCTTGGGGCTCTTCCGGGCATGACGGTCGGCCTCGGAGTGCGATGACCTTCGGCCCGGCCCATTACCTAGTTCTTCCGGACATGAGCGTCGACATTGGGGCACGATGACCCTCGGCCCGGCTCAGCTCGTCCTCTAATTATTAAATTAAAGTGACGGTGGAAGCTCATCCCCGAGCTTCACTCGGCATTATTTATTTCGGAAAAATTTACTCCCTTTTAAATAATGGTGATAAAAAATAATAGTAATAATAATACTTTTTTTTTACTATTATCTTAGTTAATTTACCAACTTAAAATATAGATATTTAGCTTTAGAGCAACGGAGACGTTCGTCCAGGTAATCTCCAAGTGCAATGGGGGTGAGTTCCTTTCGCCAATTTTGATTTCGATAATATATTTTCACAAGCTCCAAACGTCCCATACATTCAGCCAATGGCCCCATTGAAATTTCTCATTTCCCTTTGAAAGGCTTTTGATTTTACTTAGTCAAGACGTACATGGTCTTTTAGAGAATTCACTTGGGGCTGAAAAAGGTCCGGCCCACTCGTTTACTTATACAAAAACCCACTGGCTCCCACGGTCAACATTGCAGCTCGAGAAGACGGACCTCCACGCCAAATGATCTGCGGCCAATCCACATGGGGCCGAGCGGCTTTCGAGAAGGGCGGCCGGCCTTCCCCCAGAGCGCATCCTTCCCTCGAGCGCGCGAAACCAAACAAGGGGTCGTCGTCATAGAGAGCCGTGCGGTTTGGGATCAGGGGCGAGCGGCGAGCAGTAAACTGACCGGCTAAAATCTGGACGCAGGTCAGAAAGCCGGACGTCCTTTGAGGCTTGGACGATGCAGAGACCGGTGCGGCCTGTACTGGAATTCTTCCGCCCGTCGGTGGGCTATGATGGGTGGCCGAGGCGGCTGCGTTCGCCGAGCGGCGTTTTAGCAAACGCCGAACGTACTGGGTGTCTGCCCCCTGGATGGGTAGCTAAATTGTGGTGGCGGACGAACTGAGCCGGTTTGAGGCCGAACGTCGTCATAAATGTTGCTTCTAAACTCTCAAACTGAAGGGGCGGACTAATTAGGGTGGACTGGGTGGTACGTAATTGCTGTTGGGCACCGAGATCTGCCGGGGAACGAAGGCCGAGCGGCGGTCCGTGTTCCCCAAAATACTCTGGTTGCAGGCAACCCTGATTTCTCGACTTATCATTCGAGGCTCCGTTTGCAGTCCCGCTGCCCTGATCGATGTCTGTATGACTGCTCAACAACGTTGTAGTGAGCCTGAGCAGGATTCTTGGGGACGAGCAGCCATGCTTATCGGGTTTGTGATCTCTTAGCTGACATTACTAGCTGAGCGGTAAGTTTGACGTAGCTTAGTCTCATTATCAAGTTCACATCCTTGCAGCCTTGCAAGTATTTATTTGCCCTGTTCGGTTTCGGGAATGCGGAGCACGTACGTCCGGGCCGAAGGGCGTATTTTTCCCAAGGGCTAGCTTCACTTTAATTTCCAAGGAAAAGTATTCTGGGAAAAGGGTTTGCACCTGCCGGCTCTTGGTCGGAGCTCTTCCAGACCCATATTCCATTTTTTTTTCTTTGCTGAGTATCAGTTTCTTTCGTATGAATCTTTGCCCAAAAATGAGGAACACATGTAATCTTTTTGAACTGATTCCCACAGACGGCGCCAGTGTTGAGTTTAATCCAACACGATATAGTAAATATATGTATAAATGTGTATGAACAAACTATTTTTACGTGGAAACCCGAAAGGGAGAAAACCACGGGACTTTTTAGGCTAATGTCCAAGCCCTCTCATTCTCATTAATCTCTCCTCACCATTACATAGTACAAGTATTGAAGCTCCCATTAATGGAGTTCTAAGCTATTCTAGTGAGAAGGAGGAAGAAGAAAAAGATCCAAAGGGATCCCTAAACATGTGGGAAAGCCCCATATTTATAGGGGTAAGGGAAAGGGGGAAACCTAACCTAATGGGCCAAGTAAGCCCAAAATGGGCCCAAAGGGCCGAAACATGCCTAATAGGCTGAAATGGACCTTGTCATTCGGGCTCCAAGCTGGGGCGATGCCTTGGGCTCCTGAACAGTAATGGACCGGGATAATATACCTCAACACTGGTTATGACTAATCACGTTCTATTAAATAAAACCTATGCATGATTAATATTCCTCAATAACATTATCGGGTGCTCGAATTTCAAGACATGGTTGAGCAACCCAACCATTGAAGCGCTATTAAGATATTCAACATCGTAACTAAGTTATGTAACTCCTAGGCCATTGATCAACGATAACATATAGTTACTCATGATGTTTCTTGGTGTAACGTCTAAAATCTTAGAACACGCTTCTTGTATCAGCATAGCTTCATCCCATCCCATCAAAGACGCGACATGCAACAATTTTTCTTTCGCACTTCATTGATGAATATTGTAGGTAGTGCAACAATATTTATGGGAATAGAGAATCAAATGATGATTTGAAATTAGCTTTAATAGTAGAAGACATTGATGTAATTTATTTAATACATGTAACTAATAATAATTACTTGCACTGTGCATTTTCTACAAAATTTTAGACCTCAACATGCTCTCGTGATTCCATTTATTGGAATAAAATGATACAAAATCAATATATACTAAACATGTTGATTTTTACACTTAACAAATGTTCTACTTTGGTCATATTTTATTTATGGGAGAATTTGACTTTGCACCCCATGTTTTAGGTGATATTTGACTTTGCACCCTATTTTTAAAATAATTAATGTATGCACCCCATCAATCCAAAAATTGTGAAGGAATGGGGTGCAAAGTCAAATGGTTTTATAGGGGATTGGGGTGCATACATTAATCATTTTGAAAATAGGGTGCAAACTCAAATATCACCTAAAACATGGGGTGCAAAGTCAAATTCTCCCTTTATTTATTCATGTATTAGACATTAGACATTTTTGAAAAACATTGTTCACTCGTCCTAATTTAAAAACATAAGAGTAATTAAGGGGTAATTTGAGTTTGCACCTCATATTATTGTCTAAATTGGACTTTGCACCCCGTTTTTAAAACTCTTTGTTTTTGCACCACAACCCCATATGAAAAGACAAAAATGCCCTTCCATTAACAATTTGGTTGATATTCAACATATCCGTGATTGAATAGTGTTAAAAGGTAGAAGAGAAAGTGGAAAATATATATATAATAAAAGGTAAAGTGAATATTTGAATATTTTTAATGAAACAATTAGAAAAGATGAAAATGTAGCAAACATTAAAGTACATCTTAAAAAGAGAAGTGTGCCAAATATTTAAATTTTCAATAGGATCGAGTATTATAGTTTGTGAATGATACTATCTTACATAATTCTTGTAAGGAAGTTTCTAAAAATACCCACATTATTTTTACTTTTATCGTAGCAAATTTTGTTTCCTTTTCCTTCTAAGAAAAAGCCACGTAAGAAAAAACGAAGTAAGGGCAAGGGTATTTGGGGTAATGTACATCCCGCCCTACGCGCTTAGCCCCACAACACCGACCCTCATCGCCTCGCCTATATATATCCTCTCAAGACTCAGATCTATCGTTTACGATCTAATTAGCAGACGGCTCGTTAGAGCTCCTCCTTTCTTGAGACTTCGAAACCCTAGCCGCCGTGGTTTCTTCGCAAGCGTTTTCCTGAAAATTTTGCCGCGATTTTAAGAACGATTTTCCTCAACGTTTTCTTAATCGCGACCCCGATTTGTTTTTGTTTTTCAATCGATTTTTCCAACTATTTTTACAAAATCTTTCGTTTTAAATCAAATATCAAATCGATCCGATCTGAGGATGTCGAGGTGCTTTCCTTATCCTCCACCCGGCTATAAGATTGCAAGGAGCAATGAAGAAGCAGCCTTGATCGAATCGATTAAGGTTTGTTGAAAGAGCATCTAGATTTACATGTATTTATGCTCTTTGTATCGGCTGCTTTGTTGATGCTAATCGCCTAATACGCGTTACTGGAATTTGGGGTGGGTGAGGGGTTGTACTTACATATACCCTTCATAAATAGTGTTTATGTACTCCGGGATCTGCCCTTTGCATGTATGCCGCATCCATAGGATTTCAGGCTTGCACATATGTTTAGATGTAGGTGATTTTTAATTAAAAATGTTATTCCTGGGCTGTATTGAATGTGCTTGGAAGTCTGGAACTGTTGGTAAGCAAAGAACTCTATATGAACTCTCTGGTTATCATTGGAGACCCCAAGGTAATTCATGCGGTAATTTATTCGTGTTGGGTGTTAGGGTGTGACCAAATCAAACATTTAAAGCTCCATTGCTAGAAAGAGTGCATAATGGAACTGTTTTTGGCTGTTCCACCTGGTTATAGAACTTTTAACGAGCTTTTTTGTAGACACCTTGACTGACCAAATCGAGTTTGGTGTTGCATTGAGGTTACATGTTTTGTAGGGATTATATGCACATAAGGTGCTGGGATTGCTTGTTATTGTCTAAATGGGATTCTAAGTTCTTGGTCATGTGTACCGTGGAAGTTGTATAGATAAGTTGAACCGTGTGTTTTCTCAGTTCTTGGTTTCTATAATAGGAAATTCTTTGTGTCATTGCCCTATCAATCTCTCTCATTAGTAGAGAAGAAACCAAACCATTGAGTTGAAAAGAGTTTATAAGAAATACAAAAATTACCTTGTTTTTCAAACTAGAATTAACCAACATCCAATGAAGTCCCTTTCATTTTGTGACTTTGCAGTGTTTAAGAGTACTTCTTTCAAACTTGTTCACTTGTTTTTCAAATTTTACCAAGTCTTATCAAGCTTGTATTCCTATACCCAGGCCAAACGTCATGCAACCCAACTGTCTTTTTTCTCTTAGAGTTTGTGTATAGGCACAAAGCTTTTATTTACTCTCTCAGAGTGTATATACCACATCCCTTCCTCTGGCCTCATAAAATTTTCATCTTATCAACCTGTGTCTCTATGAATTTGTTGCCTGGTTTTGAATTGATAGGAGTCTTGGGGTTTGAAACATTATTATAATTCTTTGAACCGTACATATGACTTGTCATGATGGATTTGATCCTCTTGCTCGCAATTCTAAATTTATTGTCCTGGTTCCCCAAAGCTCCAAAAGGAGAGGGAGAAGAAAGCCAGAGCAGACAGTAAAGATGAGAAGAAGAGGGAAAAGAGAGAGAAGAGGAAGGAAAGGAAAGAAAGGAAAGAGAAGTCGAAACAAAAGTCTAGTGAACCTGCTCAGTCGGACAAAAGACCCAAGATTGAAACATCCCAGTCCAAAGGTGGTGGGTGTATTGAAAAAAAGAGATCCCCTGATTCTGAGCAATTAGAAAGGAGCAACCTCACTGAGGAATTTGGTCATGCTGTTTGTTCAGACTGCCCAAACAATTCTTCTGACAGCACTCAGAACAGCAATAAAAGGAAAAAGAGTTCTTGCCCACCAAATGTGACCCGTACCCATGGTTTGTTTTTGTAACTCAGACAATAAGAAATACGACGAGCTACTTGAAAAACAATACTCCATTCTATATAATTGTGCTAACTGCTCTTTATCTTTTTGTATGCAGGAAATGTGTTCAAGATCCGGCTTCCTTTACAGAAGCAAAACAACCATGATTCTACTTCTCTAGCTCAAGCTGAAGAGATTTGTTCAACTTCGGGTCGAATTGATTTACCTGTACAACCCAAATGTGAATTGTCATCTACTGTTTGTGTCCCGCGAGATACCATTGACAAGATTTCACCATCTGCTCCAAAATCCAAACAAGTGACAGAGACGCCTATGCAAAGAGAAGAAATGCAGTACAGGGATTTAATAGAGAAATTGATTCCGTCTGGATTGAGCGACACTCTTGATTGCAGTGATGATGAAGATTGGTTATTCAAGGGAAAGTGTGATGAGAGTGAGATGAGATGTGCGAAGAAGATGAAGCCTATGAAGAGCTCCTATGAGTTGTGCAGTGCAACGGCTTTGAGAGCCCCTTGTGCCCAGTTTTTGCAGGATGTGGGAATATATGCGTTGCCATTCACTATTCCTTTTTGAGTCGTGTATGAAAACGTTAGTCCTGTAATGAATGCTATACTGACAGCAAAGATTTTTTTTGCCACTGGTTGAGGTGTATATTTATTTATTTATTGGGGTTTGATGCTGCTGCTAAGTACGTGTTTTAGGCCCCTTTGACAAAATAGCATTTCTAAAATGGTTAGGATGGTTAGCAACTTAGGATTTGAGCAAATTAACTTTTTCTGATAGCATTTGCAGTGTTTTACGGCTTTTACGTGAACTTGGATTCTAACAGTTAGAAAATGTCTAGTAATAAACAATCTAAATGTTTCTATTATATTCTTCTATAGTGTAATCCCAAACTAGTCATAAGTCATAACGAAAAAAATGTCATTAAAAACGAAACAAATCAGCATGCCTGATGCCGCCTGCAGTTTATTGTAAGCTATAATAACAAATGTAACAACTCCGTATTAATTGGCATACGCTCTACGGAGTATAATTGACGATGGATTGATGCGCGCCTGTTTGGTAATTTTATTATATCCGGCTTATCAGGTTTTGTTGACCATTTTTTACCTAACCTAGGCTAATATCTTGATGTTCTCAATCTCAAACGAGATTTAGATTAAATTTGAATAGATCAAACCAGATTTAAACAGATCAATCCGATCTGACCATACTTCCACAGTTATAAAAGGCAGACATTTACAAGATCAGTTCAGTCCAAACTAGCAAGTTTCAATCCAAGTAAAAATATCATAGGTCATAATTTCTTATGAAGTACTCCCTCCGTCCCGCTATGATTGTCCCATTTTACCATTTCAGTCCGTCTTACTAAGATTGTCTCATACCTTATTTGGTAAAGTTTGTGTGGTTCTAAATCATTCCTACTTTATTCTTATTTTATCAATTCAATATCAACCACATAAACCCACTTTTATTAATAACCGTGCCACCTTCTCTTGTCCCAAACTTAGGGGGACGGAGGTAGTATATTTTTTTATTGTATTTGTAAAATATATTTCAAATATAATTCTCTTCCCAATTTAGCGGTTTCACTTAAAATTCCATCAATTTGGAGAAACTCAGTCTATTCGAATAACTTTATTGCTACACAATTTAGGTTTTTTTCTTCTCTTTAGATTAATAAATTAAAGTTCTATTACATAAAACAAAATGAAAAATTATCTCAAATAGAATTACAAATGTTGTATATTTCAAAATAGAACTAGCATATTTTTATTCTCTAAATAAGAGTAATTAGTGTCATATTTTGGCAGTACCAGATTTTAAACATGACAATATTTTCAAGTTTGATAGTTATATTTTGGAATTCTCAAACATTCTTATTTGAAAGCTTGCAACTTTTCTTCAAGTTCTACATTATTCTTTTGTATAAGGTTATTTACATATTTAACACATGCAATTTACATTTCATATAACTTGACTTACATATTTGACATGCAATTTACACTTTGTATAACGTGATATGCATATTCGACACACACAATTTATATTTAGATCATGTGACTTACATATTTGACACGCGCAATTTATATTTCAGATAATGTGACTTACATATTTGACACAAACAATAAACATTTTGTATGAAGTCATTTGCACCAAGCATTTAGCTTTTGTATCAATAAATAATTTAACATTTATAAGCTAGTATATTTTTGATACATATTTACATATTTTATATTTGTAAAGACGGACAACATGTGTGTCTGTGTAAATGGAGTACACAAAAACATTTGAGATGTGCTAGGTATACACAAAATGTGTATACTTTTTTCGTACATTTGTCTGTTCCCCGTAGACAGGTTGTTTGTCCACAGATAACTCAGAAGAGAGACAACTTGTTTACGAGGGACAAACGAGTGTACAAAAAAATATACACAATTTGTATACAGCACGCATTTTTCAAAACATTTTATTTTTCATTTAGTAATCACCTTAGGGAATAGGGAGAACTCTTGGAGTAGTAAAAAGGGGATCTAGTAAACAAAAAGCAACTACTTGCCTACTGTTAAAGTTTTCTTTTGTCAAAAAAATTAAACAAATGCGGTATCTGACTTTTTTTCCCTTTCCCGTCGTGGAGCCCCTTGTAATATTCGCGCTGAAAAGGGCAGAATGAACCGTTAATAACGACGGCCGACGAGGTGTGTGATTTTGTGAATTCTCTCTGCCACTTCGAACGCTTCTTTCAAAAGCCGTTACAGGATTCCGAACGGCCATTTTCTGCAATGCATTAAACTCCATCAATCGGCAATGTAATAAGTCGTATATCTTAATTAAATCTGCTGGTATCTTCCTTTGCCAAATCTTCTGTTTTTTTTTTCTCTTCACGCTTCGTGAATTTTCATGCCCAGAATGCCGATCCCTTAAAAGTAGTAATGCTCGTCTTGTTCTATGTGTTATACACAGAATTGTTGTGGAGATTTGGGAGAAGGTCCGAGATGGGTTTCATAAGCACTATATTGGGGGTTTTTGGCTTTGGATTTGGGATCACTATAGGTCTCTTGATCGGATATTTTCTGTTCATTTACGTCCAACCCACCAATGTCAAGGTAAATTTTATGCATTTTATTATGCTGCTGGTTAGTCATTCCTCCCTTTATGCATGCCTGCTTTTTATATTACATATGAATATTTAGAGACACATAAGAGTATACAAGGCTCTGATTGGAATGACTAGCTTAATTGATTCGATCTTCTATTGTGGTTTGACTACACTCTGACCCCGCTAAGTAACCCGACAAAACCATGAATTATCTCCAAGGTTTAATATTAAACCGAAATGTCCACTCTTGTATTTTATAATTCACCTAGTTCTTAAGTTATGGACAAGGAAAATCACTAAAGCTTCTTTTGGAATGCTATGAATGTTAATAATCTTTAGGCTATTGTTGTAAAGGTGTAAACTCTTCAGAGTTCAGATACTTTGATGTTGATGGAGGATGAAATATGTAGTTCTGCAAATATCATTGAACCCCATGCTAATTAACTCTCTACCAAACATGAGCTAGTTATATGCATCAGATGGTAGTCTAGAAGCTAGTCTTATAATGGTGTTTTATTATTATGTAAAAAGCTATTTGAAATGAGTTTTAACTATTTTCAGGACCCTGATATACGACCTTTGGGAGAACAAGATTCTGATAGTCTTCAAAAGCTTCTCCCAGAAATACCACATTGGGTGAAAAATCCGGATTTTGACCGTGTATGACAAATAACATGCAAGTTCTATTATTGATGAAATATCTTTGCTCAGATTCGCTTCTTGTGCCGCGATATTTTAATAATTTGTTTATGTAAACTGCAAACATATGCAGCTTGATTGGCTTAACAGATTTATTGAAACCATGTGGCCATATTTGGACAAGGTATGTTTATCTGTGAACTCTCCCCCCACCCTTCCAACCCCACCCTACGAAAGATGTATTTTCGTCAATAGTTGAAGTGTTGATGGGTAAAACAATCCTCAGGCAATTTGCAAGACAATAAAGCAAATAGCAGATCCTATAATAGCTGAGCAAATTCCTAAATTCAAAATTGATTCAGTTGAATTCCAAGAACTTACACTGGGAAGCCTGCCACCTACTTTTCAAGGTCAAGCTTCTTCTTCTCTAAAACAAGCACTTGATATACTAGCTGCACTTGCTTTAAGCACGGTGACAAATTGTTTGCTTGTAAATGTGTCTGTTCTGCTAAATAAATCTTGAGAGATTGCATGGTAAGCTCACTTGTCCCACTTAAAAATAAAGGAATATAAACTAACATTGTCTTAATTCATAGCAACTTTAAAAATGTTACCTTGGTTACATACTTACATGATTGCAACTTGCCAAACACCGCCTTAACTCATCAGTCATCATTGAGTCAATTATAACAACAACAACATCCAAGCCTTATTCTCAAGAGAGTTTGGGGTCGGCCAGCATAAAACAACCCAAAATCATCTCAGTTTTTAATTCTTTTGTGGTCACTTATAAATTCTTCTTTGCCGTCATATTTGATTATACATTCATCAGGCCTCTTACTCTCTTTTAACTAAGTTATATCATACACTTTTTCTCTGCCTACTGTTTGTTCTCATAAAGGAAAGTTCAAAATCTATTTAGAGTGTATCAAAAGACAGATGCATACCAGAGAAATACAGTTTTCAATTCAACCTGTCGCCATACTGATATATTGTACATGTTTGGGTGTGCAGGAATGAAGGTTTTTTCCACTGATGAAAAGGAACTGATAATGGAAGTAGCCTTGAAGTGGGCTGGTAATCCCAACATCCTTGTGGCGGTCAAAGCATTTGGGTTGAAAGTCACTACTCAGGTACTGGCCCACTTAAAAGGGAACTTGTGAATATAAATGTCATTATCTTTTCCTTTCTTCCAAAACTAACAAATCCAATTGATCTCATTGAGCCACTATTGACTTTATTTGATGTTTTGTTCATTCATGATGCCTATATGTGTGTTAAAGATAGAAAGATTTCTACTTGCTAGATTATGTACAAAGTAATGGCATAACATGTTACTGCTTGTGTAGCACAAGGACAAAGTGGTAATTTTACAAGGACTGTAACCGACGTGGTAGTCCATTAGGAATTTCTTGCATTTTACTTGTGTATACAAATATATTTGATAATTTTGTGAAATTTCAGGTGCTTGACCTGCAAGTATTTGCTTTGCCACGCATTACACTGAAGCCACTGGTTCCAAGCTTTCCATGTTTTGCAAAAATTCTTGTATCACTCATGGAGAAGGTGAGTGACGTAACAATCATTTTAAATCAGCTAAATAATAATAAATGAGGTAAGAGTCAGATTGGTACTCAAAGTTGCATAAAAGGTGTCAAATAAGTCCTTATTGTCCGGCCGTCGCCATTTGGGGTGGTTTCCGGTGAAATTTTTTGATGAATTTTTTTGGGCATTTTATTCATTAAGTCTATGTTACTCATACCAAAATTCAGCTAAAACTTCAATCGGGAAGACATTCAAATGAATTCTTGAAGATAACTGCGCTTTAAACTGCACAGTTATCTTCAAGAATTCATTTGAATGCCTTCCCGGTTGAATTTTTAGCTGAAATTCAGTATCAGTAAACTAGACTTAATGAATAAGATGCTAGAAAAATTTCGTCAAAAAATTCCACCGGGAACCGCCCCAAATGGCGATGACCGGACATAACCTCCTATATAAAGACTTATTTGACCCTTTTTATGCAACTTCAAGTACCAATCTCACTCTTACCTCAATAATAAATATAACAAGCTACTTATTATAGTTTGTAGGTTGAGTGTGTTGGCACACATCCACCTCCTTTAAGTCCTTTTATGAACTGCCTCATCAATATAATTATTACGTAAACCGACAAATGATGTCTATAGCTATTCATCCTAATAGTTTACCGTAGGATGATAGTGAGATTTTAATACTATCGGCAATCTTATACTCTTGTATGAGTTTATTACTAGAAAAATCCTGCAACAGATTTGTGATGTCTGATAGAAATCCCCATTGCATAACTCATTTACCATTACGAAGTTACAAGCAATTTATTTGCCAGATTCTACTTGCAGCCTCACATTGACTTTGGACTAAAATTGCTAGGAGCTGATGCTATGTCCATTCCAGGCCTATATACATTTGTGCAGGTACGTTTATGTATATTTTTATTTCTATATAACTTTTATCATTTATACAGGATTAGTAGACGTTCGTTATGTTCAAAAACATTAAATCGTAACATTATATAAAAAAAACTATCAAAATGCCATACATTCTGCTCAAAGGATCTTTTACTCCAGGAATTGGTAAAAGAACAAGTTGGTAACATGTACATGTGGCCAAAAACACTCGAGGTTCAAATAATGGATCCTGCACAGTAAGTTCATACTTCTTTGGTAAACCATAATTATCTCTATTATTCACTTGAGTAGGTGAATTGATCCTCTTCCTCTTTCCATTTTGAAAGAGCGATGCAGAGGCCAGTTGGAATTCTTAACGTGAAGGTTGTGAGGGCAATGAAGCTTAAGAAGAAAGACCTTTTGGGGGCTTCAGACCCGTATGTCAAACTTAAACTCACTAACGACAAACTTCCATCAAAGAAAACAACTGTTAAGCACAAAAATTTGAACCCAGAGTGGAATGAGGAATTCAGTCTTGTTGTTAAGGATCCACAATCTCAATCTTTAGACGTATCTGTCTATGACTGGGAGCAGGTATTGTGATCTAATTCTTTATCTTGCAACCAGAGTATTTGTGCTTGTGAAAAGTGCTGAATGCTAAAAGCAGGTGATGTTTTAAAATAATAGTGATTTTAAAATAAGATGTTGGAGTGTTTGATAAAAAAGTAATTTATAGTATTTTATTTGGATAAATTAATGCGGAGTATAGAAAAGTGAAAAGTAAATTGAAGCACCCTCCTCCTGGATGAGCTCTACCTTTAAAGTTCTCAATGTCAAGCCGGAGCACCAACTTAAGAATACTACTTTTGGCCTTTTTAAAGAAATAAAAACATAAAAGGGCTTCTTAAATGCAACGGCGAACCCTCCTCCAGGAGTTTTAACATCCCAAATTGGACAAATATAAAACATGTAAACCAATAAGGTTTGGAATCCTATTTATGGACCTTTTTGGGGTGGACTACATGAGCAATGGGGCACTACTTATGGGCCTTTTTGAATGGACTACTAGAGCAATGTAATTCTTGTAAGCCAAGAAAATAAGCACAGTGACACAGACTTCATTCTTGTAGTATATTTGAGACACATTTGGCAATTAACAGGTTGGTACACATGACAAGATGGGCATAAATAATGTTCTTTTGAAAGATCTTACACCAGACGAACCAAAACTTGTGACGCTTGATCTTCTGAAAACCCTTAATCCAGATGACCCTCAAAATGAGAAATCAAGAGGGCAGATAGTTCTTGAAGTGATGTACAAACCGTTTTCAGATGAGCAAATGTCAAGCAGCGTTGAAGATTCGTCGAAAGAGGTACAGGCAGCCCCTGAGGGAACACCAGATGGTGGTGGCTTGCTTGTAGCCATTGTCCATGAAGCTCAAGACCTTGAGGGGAAGCACCACACTAATCCGTCCGTCCGTATGATTTTCAAAGGAGAAGAGAAAAGAACCAAGGTAACAATTTTTTATTAACAGTGCCACATCAGTTATTAAAAGATATACGGAGTATATGGGTTTATCAGGCACTAGATTAGATTCAATCTCTTAGTGAGGTCTGAGTCGTGCGTTTTTTGATCGAATTGAGCAACCATAATCTAATCATGTGCATTATAATCTAGTTACTATTATTTGACAATGTTATTTTATTTTATTTTTTACATTTTGAGTGCTTTAGTTTAACTAGTGATTGATCAAACCCTGCTATTTTGGAGTTCAGGTTATAAAGAAAAATAGAGACCCGAGATGGGATGAGGAATTCCAGTTCATGCTGGACAAGCCGCCTACAAATGACAGGATGCATATTGAAGTTGTTAGTACTTCATCAAGAATGGGTCTGAGATATCCAAAGGTATTTATGTAGTTATTTATTATTCTTTTTACTACCTCTAAAGCACCCCTTTTAAAATTATGAAGTACTTGAAAAATCAGCTTGTTGGTAGAGTTCTTTCTCGTCAAACTTCACCACACTTTGCTTTTATCTTTTAATTAATGGTGTTACATTTTCACTCCAAATGGCGGTATCGCTGGTGTTTATAATTAATTAATACGGAGTATTAATTAATTATTGTTATTATTTGTTTATTTAGGAATCTCTGGGATATGTGGACATACCCCTGATGGATGTAGTTACCAACAAGAGAACTAATGAGAGATACCACCTTATTGACTCCAAGAATGGAAAGCTTCAGGTTGAGTTACAATGGAGAACTGCATCTTGATGATCAGGTGGTTTACGTACTACAAGTCTACAAGTCTGCAACATCACTTAATCACTTTTGTGAATCAATTTCAATTCCTTTTGGAATTTTTCGATACGAATATTTGCTTGAAATTGTATGTTTCTTCTGTCAAGAGGAACTACATAGGCTCATACTTAGGAAAAAAAGGGTTTATTCTTTGGTGAATATAGGAAATGCTAACGAAAATGAATGTATCTTACTCAAAATTTTGAAAGGTATAATATTCGAGCATACAATAAATGAGCCCATGTAATAACAATTTTAAAGTGTTGCGGTGAATAAGTGAACACCTGTAATATTTATAATTGTTACATGATCAAACCTAAACTTCCATGTTCCAAATCAACAAAAACCCCTGCGTTCATTTTTCTGGTTCTTTTGATTCCATCATAATATGTTGAATCTATGCGCATAAAATAAATAAAACGTTAGTCAATAGTTCATCAAATGTTTTGAGTTAAACATAAGTTCAAATTTAGTCAGACTGCTCGTTGGTTTTAATTGCTTAATTTTTGTGCTTGTTTTTTACTAAAACCATATTCTGGAATTACATAAAGCGATTTCAATTTACATTGGCAAATTTCAAATTTTTTGTGATGATCACAGCATATATGAATAGTGTTAGTTTACTACTTCAAAATTTTTATCAACAATATTTCACTTTTTTTTTTTTACTTATTTAGCATATCAAAATTTTATTATATTTTAATTTGGCTTTACGACTTTAGAACCATCTAGTTTTTGAATATGTAAGTTGTAATTATTAAAATTGATTTAACCATCCGCATGGATGATTATATTTTATCGACAATCAATCTTAAAAATAGTGAATTGCAATTTAATTTGGAACAGAGGAAACATCTACACGGATTGTCAAGAATATATAGCCATTAACATTTTATAATGGTCCCATTTGAGTTTGATGTATAAGATGTATTAATTGAATTGAAATTTTATAGTTTGATCTGGTTTAAGTCTGATTTGATTTTATAGATATTTAGTGTATGTGTGTTTTACAATTGTCAAAATTTATTATGGTCTGTTTAAGTGTTTAAGACATTATTTATTGTTTTTTCTTTTAATTTTGTCTGTATTAAGACGTCTGTCTGGATCAAGTGATGTTTGTATATGAAGTTGTTTATTTTGTGTGTTGAATAAACCATCTGAATAGAGTAATTAATCAATTTAATAATATTATTAAGTTATATTGACTATGAATAATGTCATTTATTAGCAAATATTTATTGCATATTAGGTATAAAAAACTTGACTGAATAGGCGTCTTAATGGACGTCTTAATTGGAAGAAGTTCTTTTTCACAATTTAATGATTAAGTTAGTTTTTTACTAAATGAATAAGTTGTGTTTTCAATTAAGTTGTAAGTAAAAGTGACTTAATGACTCATTAAGTCTATTAAATCAGAAGTAAACGACCCTTAAGGAACTAGAATTGATTCAAATAAAAACGTCTATATTTTTTTGGAACAAGGCGGCTTAAATTGATATCAAAGCATTCTGTAAGGGAACAAGAAGATAAAAGGACTTCTTCCAACCACTGATCCTCGAACCAGACTTAGGATGTTTTTACTTGGACTGTAATTTGTCCCAGACCAGACCAGTCCAGACCAGACCAATTCAGACCAGACCAGACCAGACTTGGATAGTTATAAAAATACAAAGAAACCAGACCTTACCAGACCAGTTCAGACCAGACCAGATCAGACCAGACCAGCAAATTACAGTCCAAGTAAAAACATCTTTAGAGTCAATCACCCGGAAAAAGCAATATGACTCGTTGATCATATAGTGGATCTAAATGAGCATAACGTGGTAAGAATAGACCCCTTATCACCCCAACATATGAACATAATGCAAGAGTCCGATTGAAATAAAAGAAACAAAAAGCAACAATGATAGTCTTTTCAAAATAAAAAATGACAATAAAAATAAAGTAGTGAAAACCCAGATGCATCCTCACACAATTGACCACCAACCTGCCTGTGCTATCTCGGATCAGGCTCAAGTCTCTCGGCTATATTTTAAAGAAGGTTACACATATGATTTTTTAATATAAATTGCCAAACTCATTAAATCAAAAGGTTATTTGCCAAATGACAGAAATGTAATTCGGGATTGTATCAAAATTTACTCTACCGTCTGTATTTGAAAGGTTAGCCCTTACTAATATTACTAATATATACTCCATATTAATGTTCTAAAAGGCGCTAGTCGGGCGCCAGCCCAGCACCTAGCGGTTAGGCGGGCGCCTAGTCGGAGACATATAAATTGCATTTTTGTCTATATTTTTGCATAAATATGATAAGTAATATTGTCTTTTGTGTTTACAAAATACATATGTACCTATACATTAACAATTATAAATGATAGAGTTATCACATTTAATCATAAATGTAATAATCACTTAATTTAGAACTTCATTATGTTATAAATATAAATAATTGTAAAATTTAGGTATATGTGCAAACATATGTACTTTTATCTTAATTTAGAACTTCATTTCTTTGCATCCATTGCTAAAGTTAAAGTACGTATATCGCTTAGAAAATCAAAATTAAAAACAAAAGTAATGTTCGGCGAATCTAGACGGCCTAGGCGGCCGATTAGGCGCTCTAGGCGACCGACTAATTCACCTAGATGACAAACCAATTAGTCGAAGCGCCTAGATGAAAATCAGGGCGCCCGGCCACCGCCTAGCGCCTAGGCGGGGACTAGTCGGACGCCTAGAACGATTTTTAGAACAAAGCTCCGTATGAACTACTCATTCGTACAACATTTTTTAAGTTTTTACAAAAGTATTAGCATTACCTAGTAATAATATATATTAATATTAATCAGTAAAATTATTGGCTATTGCATGGTGATTGTTCTCTTCGGATCACACATAATAATAGTATACATTTATGGTCGTTGGCGTGTTGCTACTAATCTACTACGGGCAATACGAGATATGTTATATGTTATTTATTTGTTTTTTGAATGTGTTATTTGGCATTTTTAATGAACATTTGACCAATAGATATGTGATAAAAATAAACATTGCCCAATTAAAGTTTGCAATCTTCTTTTATTTAATACGGAGTAGCACTTATTTTGTCTTTTAAGATCATAATAGCCTTTGTAAAAAAATATCATAATAGCCTCAATAACTCTAATCAAAATAAGATTATCTTCGTTGTTATTGCCTAGAGACTCACCAATTGATGTCATGCAATCTACTATCGTTGTCGTTGCCACTATTAAAATCTAAAGACCTCAAAACTTTTATCCAGAAGGTAAATCACCAAAATAAACGGGGAAAGTCACGGACTTCCGATTGTCATTTACCAAGTATTATAAATAACAAAAATGAAAATAATTTGAGAAAATAAAATACAAAAATGACAACATTAATTAAAGATGTACAAAATATCCTCATTAATGAAACCTTTTACGATAATGAAAAGTTCATTGTGAGCCTATGAATCTATGAAGATAGAAAAGATGATGTCAGTGCTTAGTCCGATCCTTTGATGAGATGGTGAACTACCAAATTAAGATCGAGCTGTGATGCAACGTCTTTATTTAGTCATTCACTCTCATTGGGTATCAATGGGTATCATGGAGCAACACATACACTTCTACATTTTATCCCGTGCACGACACGGGTAAAAATACTAGTAAATATAAAAAAACAAGCATTCGAAAACTGAAAAGGAACATAATCGATAGACTCTCTGGTTTCACCATCCACCAACAAGGGAGAATATGTTTTATCTGTCACCTCCAAAGACATCATTCTGACTGGACCATCCATCGGGAATGGAGAAGATGTTTTTCCAGCCACCTCCAAAAGAAGACTCCCACTTGCATCAAATAATGTTATTCCAGGCGGTGCTGATTCTATAGCACTGCCACCGCCTCACTTTTTGACCCAGGTCCATCGACCTCCATATTGACTTGAACTTCTACCAAATTCTCCAAGTCCACTACTCTTTTCTTCCTGGATTCACCCTCCTCTAAACTCCTATCCTATTGCGGTTCCTCCACCATCCCCACTTCCCTTTCCCTCGTGAAATCAAGCCCCGTACCAAATAGCATCCAACGTCAGTACATGCCCTTCTCCTGGCATCCCACCAGCTGACTTTGTCTTACCTCTGTTGCCATTGTTCTCTTCCCCTCATGCCCTAAATTCGGTATAAGTCATTTATTTCCTGGGTGGGTTCCCCCTCGATGCATATCCGCCCTCATCCAGGGTCCATACGGTTTGTCCCCCACCCAAGGTCCTGCGTTATTGTTCGAAGGACAATATATCAGTGTCTCCCAGAACCTCACATATGAAACATAGATTTGGAAGCCTCTCGTATCTAAAATATGCCCAAAACCAGCTATCTCCTTCCTCCCTTAACTGAGTTCTTCTCTTCAGAGCATTTCTGATATCAATTGACACACGGATTCGAACAAAGTCCTTACTTTTTCCTTTCAGAGAGTTCTTTCATCAATCTTGACCAGCCTCTCCAAGTATCGGCCAATTCCAATCGCCACTGTCTCGGTCATAAAAATGAGGGGTAGATTGTGAATTTGTACCCAGAATTCTGCATGGTTTAGCTCCACCTCCAGTGGTCTGTCCCTCTCTTCCACCCTGCTTATAACAACTAGATTCTGATCAAAAGACCAGGTGCCATCCTGCAGAACTCATGAGATATCACTCTCATGAAAAAATTGAAGCATAAAACGCATATCTCCTATCTGCTCATTACTCACCCCTTTGCTCGGGCGTCATATGATGGCCATTGTTTTCTTGAAAGAGACAGAACAGACAGGTTTATCCGTAATGACTCTAACAATAGCAGAGAAACGTGGATTCTCCTCCTCCCTATTATTGACATTGAGAGCTCCTGACTCAAACACCAAGCCATTATTTTCTTCCTCCTCAATTGACATCTTACCGTATTCTTCCGCTATTTTCTTCATGATTAAAAGAAAACCAACAGAACAAGGACTACACGATTCCAAACAGAATTAAAAAATTGGGAAAAGGTGCAAACAAGCCCTCGAACTAACCGAAAAAGTGCAAATAAGCCCTTTTATAGGAAGCTCTGTCCGGTCGTCTCCATTTGGGGCGGTTCCAGGTAGCGTTTTTTTATGAATTTTTTTTAGCATCTTCTTCACTAAGTCTAGTTTACCCATACCAAATTTTAGCTAAAAATTTAACCGGAAAGGCAGCCAAATGATTTTCTGAATTATACTGCGCTGTTTAACTGCTCAGTTATCTTCATACGTTTATTTGACTGCCTTTCTAGTTGAACTTTTAGCTGAAATTTGGTATGGATAAACTAGACTTAATGAAGAAGATGCTAAAAAAATTTCATCAAAATATTCCACTGGAAACCGCCTCAAATGGCGACGACCGGACAAAGCTTCCTATAAAAGGACTTATTTGCACTTTTTCGATAGGTTCGGGGGCTTATTTGCCCTTTTTCCCTAAAAAATTTAATCATGAATGCTTAAGATGAATGGCCGTTTGGTGGCTTCTATGTTCTATTAATCAGTCTTCTCAGACATATTGTTATCAAACATTAAATTTTTGAACTCGCACACCAAATTGTGTAAGGACATCTCCAATACTACAATTGTGCACGGTGCACACGCGACATGAGAGAGATACACACAAAAAAATTAAATTCGTGACATTTTTATCTCCTTCTTTCCATGGTCTTAAGTGTTTTTTGTTAAATTTTTTTCAACAATGCCAACATCTACACATTGTACTTGACATTCTACTTATTAATTTTTATTGGAGATATCCCATGCCATGTATGCACCGCTCACATTTTTGCACTGAGATATTTTAATAGTCAAAATAAATGAGGTTAAGTTATTTTGCTAAAGAATGAATAATTTAACTTTACATATAATTTTTTCTTTATATTATTAATAAAATATATTTTAAACAAAAACTTTTTCATGATAGTTATGAAAAAAAATCATTTACTTTCTATTCTTTTTAAAAGTTATAGTTGCAAAACAATCACTTACTTCCTCCGTCCGTAATAACTTTGTCGAGTTTGACCGACACGAGAAATAATAAAGTAAAAACTGTGTGATTGAGGTTTGTGTAGAGAAGAGAGAATGAACCGGAACCACAAATTGTTTACTTTCTTAAAACTCACATCAAAAGACATATTCAGAACTGTCATGCACGGAGTAAATTTTATTAAAACTGATGAGTTGAACTTTAGAAGTTTATAGACACCCGAAATACTCCGTATAAAATTAGAAAACAAGTTACACCTCAAATGTCGAGACGTGAGGGACCCTTCATGGAAGAATTCAACCCACCTCTTGGAACATTGGAAAACAATTTAGAACAGGTGGGTGTAGCTCAAGTGGCACTGAGAGAGTGCCATAAAGGTTCGGTTTCAGGTTCGAATCCCGGCAACTGCGATAAGGCATTATTATGCTGAAAAATGCATAAGGTCTCTACAAGTATCGGGGACGGAGCCTCACTCTCTATCTGTCAGATTGTGATTATAGTACAACTTACCTCATGTCCGGTCCGTGTGGGGGCGTCAACGTAGGGTGTCTATCTTTTTTTTGGAAAACGATTTAGACAAGTCAAACTCGTGTGGCACGTGCCCCGCCCAATAATGGCTGGCAAAACTCAAAAGCAGACCAGCTACTTTGGAAGAAACCCAAACTCGACATAAAATTGAAGAACAGTTGAAATTGGAAAACAGGGAAAAAGAAAGCAGAACGCACAGGGGTTTCCAAATTAAACCGTGATTTCAGAAAACAGCGAATGATAATATTGAAGAACACCAGCGGCAGCTGTTGACTTCCGTAGAATCTCAGATACGGGGGTTGCACAGGGTTTCTGGTATCGAATTGGAGCTCCAGTTAGGGTTTACTCCCATTTCTCGGAAGAGGTAAACCTCTGTTCTATTATTACTTCTGAACTTTTATGTCTCGAAATCATTTCGAGATTTAAGTTCATCGAATGATTATCTGATGTTTTAGGCTTTGATAGTAATATTGCACTCTCTTGAGGTGTCACTTGCTCCCTGCTGTTACGATGAAATGAATGAATTTTGTTTCTTTCGAGTTGTTTTCATTTTCTTTTTTAAATCACAAACTAATAAGTTCGCTCTCTCCTTTTTTTTGGTATTTTAATTGGTGCAGTTATTTTCAAGATGGAGTCATGGTTTAAATATTTACCCCATTCGTCCACCCAGTTATTAATTATGTATCCTACTGTCCTCTTTCAATGATTTACTTTCTTAAAAAATGATTTTTCTTCTTCATTTTCCTCAGGTTTGGGTCTATCTGCCGATTGGGTAATTGTGATATGGCTTATTTCGTACAAACCTATTTTAAGTTTTTAATCGCTCGATTGTTTTTTTGTACCAGTAGTACTTTGTGCTGAACAAGAAGGTGACGTTGCTCTACAGATTTTCCTTTTGCAAATGATTTTTTTTCCCTCTGCTGGATATGGAAATATGGATCTCTTCAGAGTTCGTACTTTTTTATTCTCTAATGAAGTTATGGTTGAAGAAAGGCTATTATTCATTTTAGACCTCCCCATTACTTTCTTAGCTAGTGAGAAGAATGCAATCACCATGTGCGAGTCAACCATATGCAAGTAGAAGTTTTTAACATTACTATTAATCTTTATATGGTTAAATTTGTAAAACCTCTGCTGCTTAATGCCCATTCAATGTATAATACTTTTGTTGAGGGGTGGGGAAGGTGTAAGAACATAAGTACTTATTTGTGTTGAATCCTGCTCTTGACTATACAGTAAGAGTTTCTCCAAAGGCTGTTCTCACGGATACATATGAAGTATGGAGACAACACTTGCAACTATTAGACTTTGTACCAAAATATAAATTCCAGGACAAGTTTAAAAAGCCTTAATTTTGTACGGGGAACCACCATCCTCTTCAAGAATTGAAATGTTGATATATTAAAACATGATATTGCAATTCGCCACTAGATTGATATGACTCAATAACACCCATATTGGGTGTTGTGTTTTTAATCGTTCGATGTTAACATCATTAGTAAGTCAGACTCTGGACCATTTGGTGCATGCATTTCCAACAATTTATGCCATATATATTTTACCATTAGAATGCATACTTACACAGTTATAGTGGTACTCTAATGTCAAATAAATGTGTAATGTACCTACTGTTTGGGGTTCAAATTTATTGGTGTAATTGCTTGTGACATAAATGGAACTAGTAGTGAATAACACGCACCTCTCTGTATCCAACTAGCTTCAAGTTATTTTTCCCTACTAAATGAGGTTTTGATTGATTTAAAACTAATACAAAATGAGGAAGAAATCACATTTATATTTGAAATCCTTTGGAAGCATTTGGCTGCCTTAACCATTAAATATAGAACATAAAGGCCATCACACTTTGAGTTGATCATTACTGACCTGCGTAAGTCGTACACGAACACTTGTGCACTAAGAACTACTCCGTATTAAACAGCACTTCAACTTTCTGGTAGAAGTAAGAGTCAAGCTTTCTTTTTCTTCCTTTTTTTCCTGGGGTTGGGCATCTTTTGTTATTTTCATTTGCATACTCAAAATTATTCACTTTTGATAGTTATATTTTGGCTTCAGTATTGCAGTGCGTTAATTCTTGGTTTTATTCTGCAGGCTAAGCATATGAGGTCATAAATATTCTATATTATGAAGACACTTGAGGACTTATTTGCGTTGGCCGAAATTAATAATGGGCTTGAGACTCCTATTCGGGTCAAGGAGCTCATTGCTATTATACAAAAGGAAAAAGATGGTGATGCCAATCGGAGTATAGCTGATGCCACTAAACAGTGGTCTGCTGTTGCATGCACCATAGCTGCAACTAATAATGAAGATTGTCTTCAACTTTTTATTCACTTAGATGGTCTGAATTTTATTGACAGTTGGCTGAAGGACGCTCAGAAGTTTTCTAATGACTCAATTGATGATGATGATGATGATAATAATAATAATATTAGTTTCACAATAGAAGAGTCGATCACTGATTCACTTCGGGCAGTAGAGAAGTTGGTGCATGTGTGCAACGGGGAATCAGCTTCTTCTGGAATCAGAATATCTGTTGAGAAGCTCCTTGGTCACAAGAGTTCAAAGGTGCAAGAGATGGCAAAAGCTCTCATTGATAAATGGAAGCAAGGTACAGTTTCTGTTTCCATGGATGTTGAACTTGTAAATCTAGAAGAAAAGGGTTTGTCAGAATCTTCATGTGGGGTTGTTCGCCATTCAGACGAAGGGTGCAATGAACATGATAGAGACAATCTTCTTCCTTCTTTGAGATCCGAAGAAGCATCTGATAAATCTTTAGAGTATAAAATAATGCAAAATGGGCCATCCACTTATGTGAACTCTCCTTCACCGACAATGCAAAATGGCGATCTTCGTAATGAGGAAGAAAGCACTAAGTTGATGCATCCAGAACATGGCCCTCTGAATGAACAGGGTAAAAACAATTCTAATGATTGTTTGAAGGGTAAACAGAAAACAGGCAGTTCAGAGACATTAGATGACACAGTTTTCTCATCAGATGATGAAACAAAGGATGCAATGGGTAAAGAAAGTGAATATGGAAATCATTGCAGAAGCACAACGCCTTTGGTGATTGAAGCTAATGAAAGTTCAAAAAGAAGCAATTTTGGAAGGGAGGAGTCTGATGAGGAAGATCATAGTGGTGATGAAAGTGATGGTGATCTTCCATTTGGACAATTTTACATGGGGAATAAAGATGCTGCTGATATGATTGGTATCAAAAAATCTAATGATCATGATTTGGGCTGCTGCAGCATCATGGATCCACTAGAGGTAGCTCTGCAAGTTGCCATGGAAGTGGGGAGAGAGTTTGAGCACAGCTCTGTGAAAAAGACAGCCACAGTTCACCATGAGGAGCCCACCAATAGCATCCCAACATCAGATTCTGAGAGTGAAAAACACTGTGAAACTAGTACTACTACTACAACCGATTCCCCCTCAAACAAGGGGGAGGAGGCACAAAAGCTAATAATATGTCCTCCTATTTGCGATAATGATGCTTCCCCCTCAACATCAGATTCTGAGAGTGAAAAACACTGTGAAACTAGTACTACTACTACAACCGATTCCCCCTCAAACAAGGGGGAGGAGGCACAAAAGCTAATAATATGTCCTCCTATTTGCGATAATGATGCTTCCCGGGCTGTTGGTGGGGGGCATGTAAATATTTCAGCAGTCGATAAAACACAAGACTTGGTGGATTCTTCTCTGGTAACTATTGGTGTGAAGGGTTCGTGTGATTTTGATTTAAATCAAGAAGTGTTCACAGAAAAAGATACAGCGGAGCAGCAACATAGCAACTGCCGTCTTGATATTGATCTAAATATGTGTGATGAAGATGCTGCTGTTGGAGGAGAAGCTAAGAGATGTCTGGATTTGAACACCAGAGATGAAGAAGATAATAACATGGCTGCTGCTGGGGAGGAGTCTTCTTCTGTGGATGAAGCAGCGAGTGTTTCCAAAATGCCTCCAAGGGGGGTTGATGTTGATCTTAACTGTGTAACCGAAGAAGCTCATCCAACTGATTGGATGGGGATGGAGAGACGACTGCTATCTAAATATCCAAACAGTCCCCACCAAAGTCAATCTCGTCCATCTTCCTCATCCTCATTTCTTAACATTGACCTAAACGACAATCGGGGGTTTCTTCATGATTATTCCTCAAATCACTTGTCCAATTTCACCAACCCTTCTCTACATGCCGTGTCCATCATGGGAATGAAAGTTGACTTGAACAAAAAAGAGTCTCTTGTACCAGGACTTCCAATAATGCCCTTGGGCCCTGTTCATAATAGTGCTGAGGGGATGGAATCCCTGTTTGCATACCCTCGCCCGGCCACAGGTTATAAAAATAATTACAACCGTATAACAGCACCTGGACATGCTTATGGATCGGTGGGACCTGTTCCCTGCATGGTTGATTTTAGAAAAGTCCCAGTTACACCTCGCATGGTGGGACCCACTTCGTATATGACTCCTGTTTTCCCTCAACTGCAACCGTATGGGCAACCGATAATGACACCACAAAGTGGTTTTGATCTGAACGACAGTGGCTTGATGATTTCACCACCACCACCTCCTGATGCCAGAGAATTGAACCGGCAATATTTGGACCCTCTTCTTCAGCCCATCTCACAACCATCAACAAGTTTGACTGTTGGTGAGAAACGGAGAGAGCCTGAGGGTGGGTGGGAGCCCTACCCTTGTAACTTTTTCAATCGCCATTGAAATAGAACTTTTTTGGTGGCTTTTTGGATCGATTGTAAGAGTATATTAATCATTTATTTGACAGAGGCAATCAGTTTTCTGATCGTTATAGCCATAGATGATTAATGAAGAAGATAGGACAGCAGCCTTCGTATACTGATACATGCATACAGCTGTTGGAGGAAGTTATAAAAGTTGTAACTTTCATACTTAAATAGGGGTTATAGGGCATTGAATAATGCGGAGTAAAAGTTATTTCTGTTAAACATTTTTTTCCTCCTGCCAAATTGTGAGCTGTTACTATCGATTACAATCATTATGTCTTTTAAACAGATTGGCCATTTCCTCTCAAAACAATTTGGGTTCATGTTTTCTTCTTATTCAGGCTCATTTCTGTCCATAGTAATTGTTGTGGACCTGTGGCCAAAATGGCGAATCATAGATTCATATCTAACTAAAGTTGTCTTTAGTAATTAGTACCCAAGTACCCAACGACGACAAAAACTGATAACATGTGACTGTAATAAACACTCCATATACTTTTCAATAGCATTAGGACTAACTTTCCTTGCCCATGGATTATGATTCACGAAAAGATGAAAAAGAGCTGGAAACATAAAAAAAAGTGTTGAATGTCAACCAAAAATCTGCATGATTATGAGGAATACAAGGACACATTTACAAAAAGTGCATATATTTCATAAACCGATAACTCAATAAGGTAGCAAATAAAAGTTGTGTAATGAGATACATTTTAGGAACTAAATCTTAATGGAAAACTATTTAGAATGGAAAACTGTATCTGAAGGACCTGATGGTACAACAGACACACACACACACACACACAGAGGGACACGTGTGTGTGTGTGTTAATGGATGAATTCCAAATAGTTTCTTCAAGTGTCCACTTTTGAACAACTTTGCCTCACGGTGTCAAATAAGCCTTTCTACCGTCAAATTAAAATATCATTTCTACCCAACGAGCTGTTACCTTCGCTTATACCTGCAGATAGTACAATTTTAACAAATAAACAGTTAGGTTTCCATAAACAATCTGGATAGTAAGCAGTAAGAAAAGGTGAAAAGCACAGCAATTGAAAGCCAAGCCCAGTCTACTGACCAAGTAATGGTAAAGTAATACTATTGCCCTAAGCATTTAGTATTGGTGGCAGATTCCAATTATTGATCTCATTATAAAAATACAAAAACATATAACAAAAAGATGACAAGAAATCAATACCAATTCCCTCTGCCCCAAAATGTTTTCCTCACTTTTCTTGTATCATTCCAGAAAGTTCTGTCTACTTTCTTACAAGTAATTCTTCAATTTTTTATTGATTCTTCATCTTTAAATAAATCCAACAACACCTAATTGGTCCTAGTTACTCTTAGGGGTGGAGTGCAAGGAGACAACATGGAAATATATTGGGATGATAAAAATCTGCCTGGTGAAAAAACTTCACTACCATACTAAAATATAAACACATCATGGGACGGAGTGCGAGTTGTGTCATACCTTGACTTGCTTTTGAATGAGGATTTCTTTTTTCCAGCAGCAGAACGGGGTTTATTCTTTTTATCCTCACTCATATCACCTTTGAAAAGTTCTCGCATCTCCTCAGTCCTTGATTGAGTTACTTGGGCAGTTCGTTTTCTGTTTTTCCCTGCCTTTCTTATGACCTTTCCAGCATCAGCTGCCTTCTTTGCAGCCTTCACTGCCTTTGCCCGACGATACGCAATATCAATGAGCTTTATTTCACCCTTCTTACCTTTCTTTGTTTTGTCATTTCTCTGCAACAGAAATCCACATTACTATTATCTCACTGCTTTATATTGATGCACTCCAACATCTTACGAACAAAGGAAAGGCTAATGCAATCTCTAAACTAATACTTTATCACCCAGATGTAACCGGAACAAATTGGTACAAGCTAGACAAAATGCATGCCATTGACATTAGCCGTAATACTATTGCTGAACGCCTGTTAACTGATCTTAAAACCTATTAGTGTCAATTAATGCAAACAAATCAGAGGCAACATTTAACACCAAACACCCATCCTGTGACACAATTCAAGGACGGATGGTCGGATGTCGAATTCACGAAAAAAATCATATGAAAGAATCGTCAGATTATGGGTTCCCAGAGTAGACGGTTTTAAATGGAGAATGAATGAAATAGAATATAGTCTGGCGGAATCGAACTCCATAACAGCCGACACTGTTTTTCTCAACTTGCATGGAAAATATCATGAGGTGTCAATGAGTTGAGATAGTTCATTATAGACATGCTCTCTACAAGATTGAGATGTACAAACCACATGCACATAATGAAATTGTCATAAACTCATCAACAAAATTGAAACTTATAAAAAGAGGTGCATGCATACATCGTCTGAAGAATTCTCATCTTCTAATTGTTCTCGAGCCGCTTCCAACTTCCTCCTCTTCTTTCTAGGCAGATGTTTCTATCATGCATATTAATAATTATTATCATTAACAGGACTCACATATAGTTGATGAACACCATCAATAAATCAACATAAATGCCAGACAAAAAGAGCACACCTCATGTTCTCTTTTTCTCTTTTCCTTCATCCTGAGATCTTCTGCTTGTTCAGCACTTACTACCTTGTTTGCACAATCCTTCTCATTCTCCATAGAGTTCTGGTTGAAAAAAATCCACGTATATTTAAAATGTGTATATTTACATTAGTATATTACTGTAACAGGTTTTGGCCTCATATGTCCACTGTTAAATATGTTTTTTAAAGGTAAAAACATACATGAAATCATTACAAGGTACTCTGGCCCCCGAAAAAGACATTTTCATGCAACTTGTCAACAAAACAAGAAAACTAATACTCCGTATAAAAATTTGCATATGAACCTCAATAAGTGAACAAATAAGTTTTTGAATTTATTATGAGATGTGGCAATTGTACCTTACCAAATTTAAATAATTCAACATTGGTCAAAGAGGAGCTTTTTAAGATGGATGTATTTAAGTAAAAGGGAAAGTATAATCACCTTAGCTGCCTTGGCCACTTGCCTCTTCTCCTTCTCTGTCATAAACCATGTTCTTTTAGGGCGAGAAAAAATCTCATTCTTATGTGCAATCATATTTTCTGCCTGGAAATTCATGAAGTAGACAAATAATGCTCAATGTTACACTGCAGATCTTTTCTTTTGTTGTTTTATGAAACTTATATCAAATATCCATCAGAAGCTGGTTATTTCCTACTACAATAAAAACATCAAACATGTATGATTGCTAAGGTGAACCAAACCATACTTATAAAAAGCACAGTCCATTTACGTAAGGTGGTAACCACAAATATACAAGTCCTAAATAAAATACTTACATTCACCAATAGTTGGCATATATTCCTTCTTGGGAACAGTTTCATTATTTTGACCCGTTTTCATATTTCAAAACTTTTACCTTGTTCTTACACATCTTCCTTCCTGTTTTTTCAATTTTCATCTTCTCTTTCCTACTTTATTCACCTGTTCTTCTCTAAAGAAATTACCCTAAATAGGAGTAAAAACAATATGTAATCCAAAATATGAGTATCATGTTATTCTCCTAAATTACTCATGATATATACTTGTGATACTAAATTCTTGAAATACTCATGATATATACTTGTGATATACTAATACTAAATTACTATAAATTAAGCAATGGCCAAAGATTGTGAAAGTCAAACTGTGAAGTTTGTTTTGGGATGGAGGGAGTATAATTGAATGATAAAAAAACACATGAAAATGACTAATGTTAAGTCGAGCCGTCAACAACACAACAAAACTAGCAGCAACAAATGCTCAGTCTTTTATTTTCAAAGATTCCAAGCAAATAAACTCAAAGGTCAATGAAGCCCTCATTGTCATTCTCATCATCATCATTCTTGGTATCAACCTAAGGATTATCATATAGCCAAACCTTTGTTGCTTCCATTTCTGCTTTCCTCATAGCCATTTCTTCCCTGCAATATCCAAATAACCAATCAAACTTGAAACCCTACATGCACTATCATTGGTTGCGGGATTAAATAAAACAATTGAACCTCTCTTCCTGAAGTATTTCTGCAACTTGCTCTTCCATTTGCTCTATTATTTTAGCCCATTTAATTATTGATTTCTCAGAAACAACTCGATTCTTCATGCAAGAACCAGCACGTTTAGCCTGTCCATTATTGCAATAGTAAGTTTATAGGTGCTTATTGCAAATGTTTCTAATAACAACTATTGAGTTGGGGTTCAAGCTCTCTGGCAGTTATTGAACCAAATGGCCATCAATACATGATTTGCAACTCTAATAGAAGGGCAATGCAGTACTCACAATGGTTCTCAGAAGTGAGCGATGTTTATCAGTGACAAATGTAACAGCATAGCCTTCTTTACCAGCTCTAGCTGTACGCCCCACTTGATGTATGTAACTAGTTTAACAAAAGAAATTTAAAGGAACAAACGGTGACTGTGAGTGGCAAGGTGGGTGTGGCTAGGATCTTATGTCAAACATTCTAAGATAATCTGGTTTTACTAATGACGTAGAAGTGCATGTGCACTATTTAGTAGAGATTAAATCATTAAAAAAGAGATTAGATCAATAAAATCAATAATTATGGCCTTCAGAAATAGAGAATATAATACTCTTAGGTGTGTGTGGGGGGGGGGGAGAGAAAGATGAAAAAATAGTCCATGCGGAAAAACAATTCTGGAAGAATCTGTGCATTAATAAGCCAAAATGACTTTATGAATAGTCCTTGAGGAAAGAATTCTTGGAAAATTATTAAAGATCATACATAAATACAATAATTTAAAAGCCATGAACTGATCAACTGAGTAAATAATATTAGTAAGGAAAATAGATATGTAAGCATAAGATATATCGAAAATCCATTTGATGCATGATGATGCAAGAAAATTATTTTATTACCTCGTGAAAGTATCCGGACATGCATAATTGATAACAGTTCGAACACCAATAATGTCAAGTCCCTGAAATGTAAAAAAAAACAAATGAAACAAAGAAAATGGATGATCGACACAATGAGTTGAAAATATCTACCATTCACATACTGGTTTATCTTCCATGAATCAGAGAACAAAAATGTTGGACACAGATCAAACAGAAAAACGCCATGTAAAGAGAAAGGATTAGATGGTTGATGGATATGAACAAAATCTTACACGAGACGCAAGCTTTGTTGTTATCAAATAATCCACCTTATGTTTCCTGAAAAGCTCCAATGCCTAAAAGCATAAATAAATAAAATTATGAAAAACTCATATGGAATACTTTGGTGAAATGATAAGCATGAAGTTGAAAAAATATGTTCTTGCATGTGCATACATCAAGGCGCTGAACTTGAGT